TCGTTTATGCATGCTGCTGTTGATAACGGTGAACAATTAATTCATTTGTACTGTTAGGGTTTTTTTTAATGTCTATATTTTAAGTTAGTATTCAAAGTACAACACGCTCGTCAACTAATACTGTCTTCTTACAAACATTTTAGTAATCTGATTAATTTCGATAATGCAATGAGAAGATGAAAGTTATCAGAATTATGTGATATATTTGCGCAGTACATTTCGAACAATCTGATCACACATATACTTGTTAAGACATTTTTATAAAAAAATATAAGGGCGACTAGACTGCTTAATGGTGATCCGTAACAAGGAAAAATAAGGTACACGGAAACAAAGTGATAACCATTCTGGATAATAAATCAGTATTACCAAGGTAGGTTAAGAGTAATCACAATTGATTGATCACTAGGTGACCAATGTCATGCGTGTCTAGTCCTTGTTATTAGTGCTGATCGAATGCTATCGATCATGTTGCAATGTGGCCACCAGTCTATGTGACTCGACACCGCGGGCACTATTGTAAGGTTAGATGGTGGTTGGAGGTGGTCGACAGGAAACCCTGGACCCGGGTTTCGTGCTACTTGGCACTCGTCAGCATATCCAAGAATTATAATCAGTATTATTGGGTTTTTACCAGTAAGACTTAACACAGCATTTATATTCATAATTTGCATAATTGGGTAGGTCAAGCTTTTAGGAAACGGGGATAGTGATTGAATCGAACTACAAAACGCAATACATATAGTTTGGTACAGTTGTACACGTAATCCAAATTGCCGATCGAGATTATTAACTAAGTGTATTTTCTTTTGGGATTTTGTGATCATTTTCTGAAAATATATCCTTCACAAAACTTTTATCCCTGAGAATAGAGATTACATTTATTCTATATGATCATATCCGTTTATAAGTACTCAGTTTAGTCATACATAAAGTTTGAAAATTATGTTGCATTAATTCTGTAATCCTATTAATCCTTCAGAGCAATGAAAGGTGGAAATATTCCGTTTGTTCTGAAATATAAGAATAAATAGCGTTCAGTCAACTCAGACTATTCAGGGTGGTCGTTAACAGGGGATTATACTGAACATAGTAATCTTTAAAAAAGGTGATTGGCATCGGATTTGAAACTTCTTTTCACAGCATAGAAGTACTCAAATTAAGGAAAAAAATGTCACTTTATCAGATAATAAAGAGATTATTAACCCTCTGACTTAAGTTCAGGGTGAAAATTACCTAGTAAATAGACGATACCTAGAAAACCAGTTCACTTACATAATATTTCGATATGACTAATAATAAATTTATACGAACATCACTAATACAATGTGCACTTTTATTTTCGGTATTTAGAAATGTTTGAAATGAGAATGAACATGTATTGATACAAAGTTCAATAATCATTTCTCCTTTTTGATATCATCTAATATGATAAAGATGAAATCCAGTATTAATTATAATATTCGATAGGGTAACATCCGAATATATTATGTAATTTACAATGCTGTGATATTAACGATCTTTCAGATTTCAAGGTAGCAGATATTGGTAAACAGACTTTTCTTGAAATGAAGTTCACTACTCAACATATTTTAATTATATGAGAAAAATTTTGGAGATTGAGTTTTACTCTACATTATTAACCGATCAATCTTAGACCAACAGTGAAAACCTAGAAGGACTGCACGGTCGTTTCATCCTAGTGTGGGACTCCTTAGAAGTACGTATCGACAGTCCCACACGCAGGACTCGAACCTAGGAACTTCGGTCCCGCGCGCAAATGCTTAACTTCCAGACAATTGAACCGGCGTCCAAAGGTGTTAATGTCTAACTTCAATCAATCCACAATATTGCGCGACCATCTTCCATTGTCTTTCGTAGATGACTGCTTTACAACTGAATAATTAATTTTTCTAACAAAGAAAAATAATTATTATTTGCATGTAGTATGATCAAGTAACTGTTTTGAACTGATTCACATATTAAGGGTCTGATAAATAAATAGGAGGAAAAATTATTAATCCAAACAAATGTTTTGTTCTGTAAGCTGAATGGGTTAGTCAGGAATTTGTGATAATTATACTCTTTATCAGTAATGTAATGAGAAAAGACGCTTTTATTTTCACAAGTGGCTATTAAAACTGTTTTGACTACCATTAGTGCAACCCTTGTTCATTAAAGAGCTAATATAAGGAAGATACTTGCATAAGTATTTTATATTATTAGTCTCCGAATCCTCTTATACGGCCTAGGGCAGAGGGAGTTCGTTATCCCTCTCGAAATGCTCTCATATGACCACGTGTATATAGACACTATCAGAGAAATCCTACTAACGACCTTCTCGCGGTGAGGGTTGTGTTTATCAAATAAAGAGGTCGAGAAGCTGAAATCTGAGTTAGTGGATATGAAGAATTCACCTAGGGGATCTGGGGAAACCCTGATTGAAAACCAGCATTGAACATATGCTAGGTCACTGTTCGCCGGAGTGAATCTAAAAGACAAGCCTAAAAACTGTGAACAGCGGCCTGTCCTTTAGATTGCTGTTTTTGGATGCAGGGTTTAATAAAAACAAACGAAAATCTTCAGGAACCTTTGACCCAAAATGTCAGTGCGTTAGCATGGTTGGTTATGATCCCTTAAAACTGCGACGTTTTTGGAAATCCACCAACACGAATTAATCCATACATCTTTTAAGCAATTAACTATTGGATTTTTATCTTAATGAGAAAGGTCTGTCGGTGTTTTACACTGATTTCATTTAATATACGTTTTCGGACTCGTCAATACATTATTTTCATCGCTGACAAAATGAGTGGAACTTAAGTTGACTTTCTTTTCCACAAGCTTGTTTACATATGATATTCATCTAGCTCATCAAGTGTACGAGAAAGACAATGAAATAAATAATACTGCAGGATAGAAGACAAGATTCCTAACACCAGTGAGAAATAGACAACCACTAAGTATTTGTGTTACCACCTATCAATTTTATTTTATATGTATACCATACAAAAATATTCTAAAACTTTCAGCAAGTATTCGTTATACTTTGAACGAATTTTCATGTTAATTTGAAAGGTTTTGAACAAAACTGAATTAAAGGAATAGCAGTGAGTATATATTTTTTTCTAAATTTGTGCTCATTATTTACACAAGCAAATAATTAATAAATATGATCACGTATATTTCAAAGGCGATATGAAGACGACTATCAAGTTAAAAACGGAAGAGAAAAATTGAGAGCAAAATATAAATAAATAATTTACGAGGATAAAGAACAAACGAGCAGTATCAATAATCATAGTTATCAGTATTATCATCACAATATTTATCTCGTTATACACAACAACAACAACAAGAAAAAACAAGTCAAGTAGTGAACAAAGTAACTAGCAAAAAAATACACTGAACATCTTCTTGTTATTTTTTTTGAAAAAAAAGAAAGGAGAAACACCATCACAAATAGTTCATATTTGTGCAAAATTATTTCAATAAAAACAAGATTAAAGAACAAATGGGAAATTTGATTTAGTACCAAAAGAGGTCGATAAAAAATATATATATACATATAGGTAATCTTCATTAGCAGTCAACATTTGGGTAGTTAAAAAAATACTACTTTTTATTTCCACGCATCATACCAGTATTGTATGGATTATGCCCGGCAGTTCCATTCAGATTATAACTTGGCCGCATAGGTCTATTATTAAGGGCTGAATGATATGGATGATGCTGCATAGAATGTGGATTATTATACTGCATCATATTTGGATTATTCTGATTGATATTTCCACCAGAAGGCATCATCCAATGACCCATATTCCCACTATTATTAATATCAATGGATGATGAACCAGGAGCAGAAGATGAAGAAGACGACGGTGCTACACCCATGTTACCATAATCCATATTCATCGGACCCCAATTCGATGGTGGTTTAAAATTTGGTGCTTTATTATGACGCTAGTTAAAAAAAATGAAAACAATCTCATTTTACAAACATGTAACCTAAACGATTGTATTGAAGCTCAAAGAAGTAGGTTTTCAGTAGAGAATAAAGCGGGCAGAAATAACAACACATTTATGCCAAAAACTTAGGACATCACACCAAACTACTTAGATGGTATGTTTTATCTCATTTGTTTTTTTAGAAAAGGGTAGCGTAAATTAAAATGATGAATTTAAAGGTCACTTATGTAACGAGATGATATCAATTTAAGTTCTACTGAAAAACAGAGCTATTTGTCAGCCTGACAACAAATAATTAGTAAATTTTCTTCATAGCATAAATTCGATATCTTTCTATTATCGTTGAAAGATATATATAAATATGAGTCCAGCAATATTAAAATTATTTACCGATTAAGATTAAATATCAGAGTAAAATTAATGGATTACAAAATTCGTTGCAGTTTACCAGATTAACAAACTAACTATTGAATACAATTACGGTTCAATGCTATTATATCATTAGGTTGGTAGATATTTTAAATTAAAACACAAATCTATTAATATTGTAGTGAACATTCGTTTTCACTGCTTTGAACGATAATATTATTCTATAGAATAATAACACAACTGAATAGCTAAACACCACACAAATAAAAACAAAAAAGTAAAACATCACCAATCAGGAAAAGTAAATTTTATTGATTTTCTTGATTACCGAATTTCATAGATTGAACATAAAAATAAACTAATTCATTAGTAGTAAATACTAAGAATTTATATTTTAAACCAATCTCAAGAAGATAACTGCAAAATCTTAGAACATTTATAGTCGAGTGATATTTCTCTTTGTTTTTTAAGGAAAAAAAACACAGATACACACAAAAATATTTAGGATTGCAGTGTAAAATGAAAAAGAAAACTACATTCTAGTAATGTAGATTTCTACAAAAGATTTGTACTGAGAAAAATACACAAATCATTACAGGACAAACATATAATATATATATATATATATATATATATATATATATATATATATGATTGAGTTATATTAGCTGTGATTAGTAGTGAAAATATATTGTTTTGGTTATTTATTACTCACTTTGTTTTTGTGCCAGTATTCCTAAAAGAGGATTATAAGAGTATAATTATTTATCATTATGTATTATGCGCTAGTCTTATAATGGAGTGATGATTAAATGATTATTTAGTATTAATTTCTTAACTAACAAGTTACATGTTTCTAAACACATAATCCATAGTCTAATAAGGTTTAGGCAATCCAGTAGTATCTATAGCCCTTATAGAAGTTCAACATGAAGTTGAGAAAATGTATTTGTACTTGGTTGCTGAGTTGTACCTTATTACTACACTAGACTATATAATATAATAACATGAAACTATCAAGAAGGAATAAAAATAACAGAAAATTTAAAGCATATGGATTTACCTACATTGAGACATATGAAATTCAATGCAACTCAACAATCAAGTTTAGATTCAGAAATCTAGCTTTGAGCTAAACTTGTAGTGTAAAAGGACTAGAAATATAACTCATGATATAACGGTTGAAACTCGTATACTTGAACTATTAAGACATTGGTTTATGTGAGAATAAACAAAAATGTTACCAAATTTACGGTAGCATTTAACAACAATAGTGTACAACACTATTTACACTATCAGTGTACACTAATAAAATATACTTAAAAAATACCTTTTTGAATGTACTAAATAACAATAGATTGATGAAATTTAATGTTCTCTTAATGATAACAGACAATATTTATGTGTACAAACGATAAGCTGTTAACTCCTTGAATGATCGTTAACCGATTTTGTCATAAGATATGGTTATGACTAGATGAATCTATCAAACAAATGTTTTAATTAACAGCAATGACTGTTCACACTAGAATTGAAAATACAAGCTTCTCAAATAATTTTTCCATGTTCAAGTTAGAAACATTTATATACCTGTACACCCAGAAATATTAATTTCGTTAGTTAGATAGCAAGAGTAGTATATTTTGTTTCCTTAGTTAGTTCCGATTACCTTAAATACAGTACATTCTGAACACATACAAATTAACATGTTCTTGACCAAACGATAATTTTTCTACCCGAGTTTTGTTTCATGTCGAACGAATCTGAGGTATGTGTGACGCATGTGCACAATAGTTTGTTTGGTCAAGTATTAACCACGATTACTTGACCACAGAGCAATCGATTCAAGTTGTGAAGTTACTCATTTGAACAGGCTATTAAGAACACACGGAATAGTTAAATGAACCAGAACGATATCAAGTAAACAAGTGACAAACGGATGTACAATATTGAAATTTTCACTGAGCAACAAGTTAAGTCGAATTCATTTAAACAATACTAGAAGTATACTGTCAAGTTACAAAGATGTGTGTTATGTTGACTAGATCATACTAATTTTTTTAAACAATCTCATCTTCGAATACAAGTAAATAGCCTACAGCTATAACAATATCAACAAAAGCTTACCCCTTAATTGAATTAACTTTGCACAATCTATCATCAATTGACTTGATTTTATGGAAAGAATTCGTTGGGTGACTAGGAACGGCTTATTTGAAAATCATTATTTTATATACTTTGCTGTTAAACAAAACGTTTTCTTGCTTTATAATCTTGATTGCTGAAATATTATCAAATTTCACTTATTTATTTCTTATGGTATCAAAAGTACACAGTTTTATCCTTTAGTTACATTCATCTTTTAGCAATTACAATGTGTTCTCTTTTTTGTTATCTCTCTGAAAATTGGCGTATTTAGGAGTTCGAATATGAATACGGTAAGAGTAAAAAAACTTCTTCACTAACACATATCGGTTAACAAAAGTGACATTCGATATAACCAATAACTTGTAATGAAAACGAAACAACATAACATTCCAAGCCATTACGAGAAAATAAATTTTGATTACTGAGAAAAAAAGGATGTTTCAACAGTGAATTACATACACATAGGAATGTTCTTTTGAACAAATTTGTATCACTGTTGCAGCCTTGCATCATAGAGTATAAACTACTCAACATGGAGATTAGAGCAAACTCCTAGCATTGAAGATAATTTAACGAAAGAAATAGTAATAAAAACTGAATTTACCGGATTATTCATTCCACCACGTGGGAGACGATTTGAATGACCATGTACACCGCTAGAATGACTGTAACTATAAAAATTATCAAACACAAAAAGACCAAATTAGTCATTACGAGTATAATTGCATACGAAAATGAAGGATATTACACAACTATAACGGCAGATAGTCGAGTGATAGTAATGATAATTTGTAGATCAACAGGATATGTTGAAAACAATTTTCCGTGAATTTAGCAAAGTATTAACTATTCTAAATGATAAGTTAGGACCAAATATGCAATTACACAGTTTACACACAAATATAATAATTATTGTATGAAAACTCATGACAAATTTTAGACAAATTAAATATACGCAAAGAGAAAGCATAAACAAAGTACCTGAATATGAATTAAACAATATGGGGCTTTCTTTTTAATATTCTCTGCAAATTCTTAAATAACGCTACCGAAGAAATTGTAAATCATAGGTTAATAAATAAGGTGAAGAAAACACTCTCACTACCTTGGCCATCAGTATAAGAGTGAGCTTTGATAAACAATTTTCCAGTTTCTTTGACTTTGTATTTTTACATAATCTGAAAAACCGTCTCTCGATTCTTACATAGATACTATAACACTGACCTTTCAACAAAAAATTGCTGATTCTTTTTATATACTATGTAATAGTTTCGTTATTATTATATATGCAACTAAACCTTATATTCTATGTAACATAAAATTACGAAACACATAATAGGAAAAAATAATAATTTTCAAAAACAATAAAATTTCACTAAAATATTTACACTAACTTATCAGAATTGCTACGTTGAACAAGACCTCCATGCATTATCATTCCATTTACACCTCCCCCTAATCGAGAGTAACGCCCAGATCCAGTTTTCTTTTCGAAACGTAAAGAGCTATGTCGTACTATGTTGGGCTTCATATTGGTACCCGATATTGAACCAGTGGAGTTGAGACACTTCATACTTGTAGGAGATATAGGGATAATCTTACTTGACATATTTGAATTAGATGTGGGCACCGTGGTTAACAATTCAGTAGGTGATGCTGGTGTATCAGTATTAGCTTTAATACACTAAATAAATGGAGAATAATAAACAGAAATGAATGAATTAAAGTTTGGCAGAAATGCAATTTCTTATAAAACGGAGCATCCATTAGACAGGGGTTATTTGTTTTTGAAAATTATGAAGCAGACTACCGATTACATTAAGATCAATGTGACATTTTCAATGAGCTTTGACAATATGGCACTAATAATAAACACCGTAAAATATTTACTTGACAGATAAGCACACGACAACAAACTTGACAGTGAAATGTGTCGGTAAAATTCCAACAATTCACATAAGTACGAAAGAAGGAAATTAACAAACAGGAGGAAATTACGATAAACATGAAAGATTTAGAAAAATAGATGCACCTATGCAATTATAGTTGATCTTAGGAATCTAAAGTACTTAAATAATGATTTTTAGAATTATGAAAACCTCATACAGAAAGTTAACATTCGTCTAAACAGATCAGACCAATATTCGCAATTATCTTTTATTGACCTAATCTCATCGGAGTTAGTCTTCTAATCTTGGACTATAGTGATGACCAAATCACTCACACTCGACTTAGATCTTTGCATCTCAGTCAGTCAGCTACAACGAAAGCCAGGCACATATATGCATCGGCTCAAGTTGCCATACCTTATTGGCACAACAAGATCAACACCAAATTCATAGAAGTAATTACTTCAGTGGTAGTAATATATGAAAGAAAGAATTAGTTCGTATGAAGAAAGGTATAAAGCAATTTTAATCTCATGGTTTAAGGGAAGACAAAGAGTGTATACACCTGCGCCATTGTGACCGATTCTAAGCCATATCACACAGAGACTTTAACCATTGGTTACGATATCATTACCAAGGTTTGACTTGATAATTTCGAATAAATTGAGCATCGGGTAGATTGTTATAAATAAATTAATATATTTTTAATATTCTAATGGGTAGGAAAATTAAATTTTTTGACGTTTCGTGACTGAGTGCAAGCCATTTCCTCAGAGAATAAATAACCAAATCCATTTCTACTAACTGGGATATTACAAATATATTAATTTATTTACATTGGTTACGATAATCAAGCAGACCCCAACCAAGTAGTCTGCATCTACCAACATGACTCAAAACAGAAGTTGGTGACTTCAAGGACTGATGCCATGTTTTGGTTTGGCTGCCCCTAACTTGATCCCAATCATCCCCAACACCAATCAGCATTGAGCGCCGTGCTAGTCGGTGTTCAGGCATACGTAACACACAACCCAACCATCTCAGTAGATGAAGATTCAGAACCTTGTCCTCCTGGAAGGAGATCAATTCCTAAAAATGCAGTCGACGAAAACGTTATTTTCAACAGTAGGCCTATGATGAAATTAAACAGAAATAGAGATAGTGGATAGTCTTGTCGGATACTAATTTAGGTTGAAAAATCAGATTACAGTTCGCCATAAGCTCTGACTCAACCGTTACTATTCGAGTAAACAGCGTTCACAAGGTTTATGTACTTCTGAGGCACACCTTTCAATGACAGACACTGCCACAGAACCTTTCTTTGCATCTAAATTCAAAATAACCCAGTACATGTTTTCATCATACATTAGCATAACTTTGGAAACAAATTTTACCAGATAGTAATCTTTATGTACGAAGTAATTACTTATTGGATAGAATACGAGCATTTAACTAGAAATTACATGCTGATCTAGGATTGATTGTTAAGACATTTTAACAGTATTCTGGTCAAAAATGATCATCTGTTCAGAGCAATTGAAAGGTTATTGTTCCTCCATATTAATGAATAATAACATCCATTTATAACTCTAGCATGCAAAACGAATACACGAGTCTTTACAGTAAGAGTGTAAAGGTCCAATATTACAGTTTTTTTAAATTTTCAGATAAACCTCCTAAACTAGGACATTACAGAAAACTAATTACTCGTAACTGCCTATTCGTTTACGTTTACGCTGTTATATTTTCTATCAACCGAAAAATGGCACTTTTTATGTAATTCTTAGTAATGTACACAAAGATTTATTGCAAAACTAAACAACAAACCTCAAATTGTTGTTTGCCTTGTTTCCCCTCTGAATCTGAGATAGACTGAGTATTCGAATGAATCATTGGAGCATTTGAATTACATGAGGATATATTTCTTTCATCTTTATCATGCACTGGTTCTTTATTTCCACTAGTCCATACAGATTCTTCATTATTTTCAATCGATGTGCTCAAATCCACTTCAGAATCTGATCTACATATATTGTTCTGACCATTTTCTGTTTGGTGCGGTGTCGGTGTCCCACTATATAGAAGTTAATCCGAAAGTAATTATTCCAGAGAATAAAAAACATGTGCGAAAAATGAGATCAACAGAAAAATAGGATTGTACAGGACTGATTATTATAAGGGGTAGTTCAAATAGTGTAATGAAGGTGATTCAGAAATCTAGATACACATTTTTCGACTGGCTTCTAGGTTTGAGTTCACTTCATTTACTTCAAACAAAGTAAATCAATCATACAACATGCTTAGCCCATTAGGTGAGTTTTAAATTATGGAGCACGAACTTACCCGCTTGGAATTTCACCAATTTAGCAACGTAAGAAAATAAAGTTTCGTCAGTGATGTTAAGTACTAGGAGCCCTCAAAATGCACCAGTACAAGTGAAGACAAAGAGGGATCACAATAATTTTCCATGTAGTCTCTTATAAAAAAGTACTTACCACAGCTTTCGATTTGGCAGGGGCATTATGGAACAAGTATGGACAAAAAATGAACATCCGTGGCCTAAACTGTGTTGGTTGATGAAGAGGTTTTACTTGGATGTGTGGAAGAATCGTGACATCAAAAGCCATTATCATACATAAGCTCCAACCTTGTATAGAAATGGGTAGGGTATCGACCTCCTATCACCCACTATCATGGAAATGCATTTAGTGACGTTATTCTATCGCTTTGCAGTTTAGATTACCAAGTAAAAGGCATGGAAGGCAATTCTCTAAGGAAACAAACTGTTTTTGTTTAGGCATTCAGGCAGTATCGTATCCATCATACAACTCATGACAATAATGATAAAGAACCGTTCAGAGAAAAAAACAATGATGTGTTTGATATTCACATGAAATACAAAGTCCAAGAATTACACTTTTTGGATTAGCTAGTTGAAAGTGAAAACGTAAAAAATATAATGCTAGCTTCATTATGTTGCTTATTCCCACGAGAAAATTGAATCAAATTGTACATTTTTATCATAATAAGGAAAGAAAACTTAAAGATTGGAAATGAGATCACTTTCTATTGCATTGTTTGTTTTAAGATAGGGAACGATTGATCGTGAATATTTAGATGGCCAACATATAGTCACATTTTTTTATCAACTAAACATAAAGTATGGATAAAAATATACTTCAATCTGTTATTTACATACGATAGTTTGGATAGTATCACTTCCAAGTATGCTCTAATATTTTCTAATCAGTTACAGTTGTGCAAACATACTTCCTTGCTTTTAAGGCCTACATATCCCTTCATGTACAACTTTACAGAATACTTCTCATCAAACTATATTCCTATTGTTTAGTCTTTTTGTTATTACCATAGATACAATCATTTAAGCTTCTTTGGTTAATTTAATCTTAACATGTTGATTTGAAGTGCAGCAAATTGAGCCGACGCACATTTGTGCAATGATCAATGATTTTCATAATTGAATAATTGATTATTTATTAACATTATTCCCTTAAAAAATGTTACATGGCATGAAAAATGATTGTCAATGTCAATAAAATACTGTTTAAGCACACAAAACGAGAAAACTTGATGAAAAAGATTCGTTAAAGAGAAGAATAAATTTACAATTACGAAATTATATATATATATATATATATATATATATATACAACTGACCTTGGACAAAATTTCTCGAAGATATTGTCTCTCCATTGGTCTTGAAATTCATCATTTTTTTTAGTTATACTGCGGAGACAGCTTGGATTATCAGAGAGCATTGTAGAATCTTTAACTTCATATGAAGTGATTGCTGTTGTGTCAGAACTTCCGATATTCGATGAATCACTGATAATTGTTGAAGTAGACGAAGTTATGGTAGTCGTAGATTTTGCCCGTAATTTATCAACAATATCACTAATACTCTTCACTGAAGATTTACGGGGAAACTGCTGTTGTTGTTGATGCTGTTGTGACGATTGCGAACATTGTCCTGAAACGGACGAATTGGACTGTAGTGAAATTGGATGAAGGATGGATTGTGAACAGTTTTCAGTATTAGGGGCCGTAAAGCCTGAAACTGAATCGGACGGGATTGAAGAATTGTCATCAGTATTACTTGCTACATCATTGATATTTGCATTGTACCCAGCTACATTTATTGGATCTACGCCCTCCAGATTAGGATCGTTAGAACTTGGATATATATTTTCAACAATAGTTAAACTGGATTCGTCAGATTTTTCTGGAGATTGAGAATCTGGTGTATCCCTGTAGGATGAAACGCTTTCTTGTATCTGCTGAAGTGTGGTAGACAGCATTCCAACTGACTTGTCCCCACTTGCGTCCGATAAAGGTACACTTGGTAAACAGCCAGTGGTTGTACTTTTCTTTTTAGGAATCTTGTAGCCTTTAATTAATCCAGATGAAGAACCAACAACACTTACAGAAGCTGGATTTGTAGTGCATACTGAACTGGAGGATAAATAATTGAGAGTATTGCTTTGTTGAACAGGTTGAGATTTACTTGTGGGAGTATGTGGAACACGAGGTAAATTAGGTGCTGTATGTAATGATGGACGAGGTGTTTTACGTGATGTGTTACTGTTGTTAGGTGGATCTGAACTAGTAGAAGGAAGTAGGGGGGAAGATATAAATGCAGAATCACTAGAGGTACCTGAATTAGAATAAGCAGACTGAGAGTTGTTAGACTGCTTCGAAGTTTCTGGATTGCGTTTGCGCTTGTCACCGCTTACTAAGGGCGAAGTCGATGAAGAAAACAACCTTTTGGCAACCATCATATCATCACCCCCGGAACTAGTTCCAGCACCAGTCCCAAGTGGAGTAGAATTAAGTGCAGAAACCTTCTTTTTTAATGATGAGTTGGGGGACATCGAAATACAGTTATTATACAAATTGGGAGTTGTACCTGATCCCGTTTGATTATCTTTGGGTACATCAGAAGTTGGTGGCCGGGAAACACGGTTTATTTTTATCAGCTTCGGTATATTTGAATTGTCAGCTGTTTCTTGTACCTGGTTATAAGTATTACTATTGGGAATGAAGGAAAAATGAGTCTTCTCTGTGAAGCCATGACCTAGACGACGCTTACGTTCCTTTTTCACTAAGACAGAACCATGACCAACTAATTTATTCGTACTTTTGATTTGTTTCATACCAGAGTTATTAAGTACAAGAGGAGTAATTGCTGACTGACTAGGAACTCCAGAAGCCCCAGTAGTAACACTAGTAGTGGTAATTGAGGCATCAGAACCACTAATTGAGGAGTTGGCAAGCTGGAGCATTTGCAACATATATGCTGATGGTTTGCCCTCTACGGAACGTTTTTTACGTTTTTTAACGGATGGCAAAGTTTGGGCTGAGTGAACTGTACTTCCAGAGTCCGATGTATTATTAGGGGTCGAATTTGATTGAACAGACTGGATTTTGTTGTACTTATCAACTTCATTCTGGCTAAAGTTTACTCTAGCCTTAGGAGTTGAAGTAATTGGTTGAGATGGTATTGTTTTTATCGTCATCTTCAGACTAGTTTTACGTTCGATGGTTCGTTCTAAATTTGAATTTGATGACATCATTGTTGTCACAGGAAAATTCGAAATTGGATTAGTATTACTAACTGCCAGGCTACCAGACTGTAATGGGTTTACAGACACGCTAGATTTAGGACTTGTTAATGAGGAACCGCTTGAAAACGATAGGGAATTGGAGGACGATATATTACCAACCGGGACATCGAACATTGAAGTGGGGTTATCGTCGAAGTCATAGACCGATTTACTAGGGTTAGGAATTTGCATGTTGATACTTTGCACTGTAGATGCTACTGTACTCTGTTGGACATATGGCAGTGAACATGAAGAGAAACTTGGATTTGTTTGACTAAAAGTAGGGCGCTGGTAGGTTCCTGACAATGAGATACTTGTAGTTGGTAAAACGGTGTCAACACGCTGGTGCTTTGTAGTGGGATAGTTAGAATATACACTAGGAATAGGTGTATTACCTTTTTGACTATTAATGCATCGGAAACTACCTTCCACCGTTCCTCGACGCCTTTTACGAGGTTTTTTAGGATTACTTGTGGGGTTAACAGTTAAACTAGCTTGAGTGTTCTTTAAACTTGTATGTTTAGTACGACCATTATTAGGAGTGATTAAACTGGAGTTACGGACGGAGGGGTACTGGGAACTATTTGGAGTAAGGTTTGGTGCGGATGAACTTAAAGATTTCCCACACCCTTGGGGTAACTGTGCATCTGAACTAGACGGTTGAGAGTTATTGGATAACATCATGCCAGGAAGTCGACTATTAGAAACGTTTATACTGCTCGCAGCTGAAGTGAGGGGACTATTTTGAAGATTTGTTAAAGAATGACTGGGATTGTAGTGGTGACGATCTGTCATACTGGATGGAGACACCAAAGGAATGGAAGTAGAAAGTGAATCTTCGTTTAAAAGATTAACAAGCATAGATCCGCTTGTTGATGGAGCTCTGGAGTTATCGCTAACCGGTGAGGCTAACAGTAAGAAAAAATAATGTTTCGTTATCAGCAATGTGAATATAGAGATAAAAACTAGAAACTTCAACCCAACTTCTATCAAAATTTCATATTAACTGGGAAATCATTGGGAGTAAATAAAATATAGACTACCTCATTGTCGATCTAATTCATTTAAGGAGTACGCAACCATAACCACTTCAAAATTTAAAAGTAGGATCTTTCAGGATCAAAGATAAGTCCATTGACTATTCAGTTATCTAATTCGATTCCAGTGGGGAACAAATTGAACGTTAATTATAGTGTTGATGTGGTACGGCGATTCGGGCTAAAGTATATTTCTGGCAAAATCTACGTTGATTATGACTGACCGAATGACTAAGTACTTAGTAGTATAATGGGAAATCTCACCTAAAGTCACAATAATTCAGCATCACTGATAAAAAATAAGTTAGTTCTAAAAGACAAACTGTAATTATGTCAACAACTGATGAGCAATGAGAACTAATCTCAAACTAATGAATTAAAGACTCAATGGTTTAACTGACAAGTGGCGAATGCGGTTACTGTTCATTTTGCAAGTATTTGCAGCACAACTACTAAGCCATATGCAATTGAATATTCAATGAAAATTATATTTACATTTTTAAAAAAACTATCCTATTAAGTGATGAATACTTTGAAAACTGCAATGCCGATAAAGGGACGCATACTTATATAATTCAAACTAAAGAATCTGGTTGATCTAAAAGTGCGGTCAATTTATTAATGTCCTTGTTGACGATTCAAACTAATGATTCATAAGCCTTTGAATTGTAATCAGTTGCCGGTCAGTGTTAGTAACCACAGAAGTTTCAGTGAGATCCATTTAATTTTGACTAAACATGCTTTAGTAAAAAATTTACATTTAAATATACTGTTAATAAAAAGCTTACCAGTAAAACTTTTAGATTTGACTACAGCAGATGAACTTGTAGCCTCTGAATTGGAAGTACTAACAGACATAGAAGGTATATTGTACAAATTTGAAGGGATACTATTTGATCCGGATAAAACAGACGACCCATACTTATGTGAGGAATGAATAGTAGGTAATGAAAGATAATTTGATGTAGAAATGTTGGGATTAATCATATCAGAATACGCTTCCTTCACATCCGCCAAAGAGGTAGTATGTGTCCCAGGAATAGGCGATACATAGCTTGGTAACGAGTGGGAAAAAGAAATGGGAGGTGGATTACGCTGTTGTAACTGTTGTTGTGTTTGAAATGTACTATCAACTAATAAGTCATCTAGTCTTAAACCACGAGATGGATTAGTTGAGACAACTGGTAAACTGGAATTGGAATGCATATCACGTAGTTTGCCTTGAGAGTTCACGGGTCGCAACGATGATATAATACCAAGGTCACCTGTTAAGGATATGTTAAATGGGTAAAATATTTTAAATATAGTTATACAGAACCATTTAGATAAATATTTTAAACAATGCATAGCAAAGTTTAGTTATCAAAATATAGGCAATCAGTAACTGAAACTTTTAATGCTAGAGATACCAAGAATATACTACCAGTAAGCCCTGGACTACATAAATTAAAAAAGTTGTAATTTACATAATAGATTGAGGCTGAAACATCAATTTTGATTCGAACTTTTCTGTTATTCTATCCTCACTATGATTCTGAGAGAACTTATAACATTTTACCCTTGAATAAGATGAGTTTTCAACAACCCTGTTACGATCGAAGGGGGAGAATATAAGAATAATCCATTTTATAAACCCTAGTCACTTTATTATAATCAAGCTAAAATGAAATCACCTTATGTCTGTATGGAGTTTGGCTTCCATGAAATTTATATTCTATTTCGTCTTAGTTTATTTTTTATCTTAAATAAAAGCATATTTCTTTCAAAAGTCTCGTTTAAACACTTAACAGTTGCCGAATATTTGTTTAATGTACGGAATTATCAAATGAAATAGCTGATCCAGCAACTAATAAAACACAAGGGTCGTCACTTTTATTGTAATCAAAATTGAAGAAAAGATAGATTTAGCTGCAGTACACAACCAGTTTATCTTTGTGTTTCCGAAACCTGGCCTCTATCAACTAAGGATATTTGAGGACTCATTGTACTTAACCTTCTTTATACCTGAATGACTGCCTACATGAGAAAGCAACACTACTTTATTAATATTAAGATCTACAAACTTGTGGTTAGGTACAGTGAACATCACAATACAGTAAGTGATGTCAACTTGAATTAATTACTTTGATGGTTTGGTATTTATTATAATACGGTTGCACGGATTCTTTTAAACTCCGCCTGGAGTCTCTCCGGGGGCTACTGCCGATCCCAAACTCGGATAAAGGAGGATTGGGCATGAGGTTAGCGACCCCATCCCGTAGAAGACTAACTCGCTAAAAAACGCCAACCAGAAAAAATTATTCAAACCATTTAAAACGGATCCCTTTTAAATCCGAAAAATAACTGCAAGTGTTTTTTATTAGATACAAACCACTTTTTTTCTTACGACTTCTCTACTGAATAGCCTCTCAAAAACGAAACGCAGTTACATCAAAATCCACTCATAAAAAGGCAAATCGACACGCTTTTAATACCTTATCTAGCACAAATATGTGACGAACACGGTGTGAGAATATATATGGTAATGTAAATGACGATTATGAGGAACATGTTGAAATATTTTATGCTAGGAATCTCCTATTCTATTAAACATAACTGTATTTAATAAACTGAACTTGTTTTCGTTACTATAATTACCGTTTCTAAACTCACAAAAGACAACGATAACAACATACTTGAGCTTGTATCCAAATGAGTAAACGCAGGAGGAGGTGTGGCCATGACACCTGGAGGTAAAGGAGGTATCTTTTTAGCACTGTTCAAGTAGTTTGGTGTGTTTAAAGCAAATACTTGTGCTGCAGCGAATGATGAGGAAGATTCGAAATCCAGTGAAACTTTTCGATCTCCACCACAAAGTACACCACCAGTACCGTTAGCCCCACGGATTATAATAGATGATTTAACACGATTAAGCATTGTCCTTAAAGAAGTCAATTGATTTTGACTGACTGATGAATAGCTTTCCTTATTCTCAGTACTATTATATGAATTGGTTACAGGCAACTTCATGCTTACCAACTGTTTATGAACAGGACATTGGAGTTGAGTAAGTAACCAGACAAAACCAATTGGTAATGTATGTGTTTTTGTGAGAATTTTGCTGAAGTTAGCTTTGAGATTACCTCCAGACTCTATGTCCAGCTTATTCAGTTGCATGACATCTTCTTTGTCATTACTTGTACAATTACTATTCAAGCGATCATGTGTATTTGAAAAATAATTTAATTCCAGACACTGGACATCGAACGGACGCACATGTAAAGAAGCTAAGAAGTAAATAAGACAGTGATTGGTTACATCATAGGACCAAATTATTAAAACAAAATCAAGTACTTAACTCATGGCATATAGAGCAACCAATAAAATGTTAGTTTAATTCGAAACTTCAAAAATCAACGTTTGTAAGGATATCATTTGTGACGATTTGTCAATAGTTGTTAAGGGAGGAACTTAAGTCAGCATGTGTTCGAATTAAACATTACACTTGGGTTCGACTAATAACTTCATTAGTATAGTTCTTCAAGAAGGTTTAATCAGCAAAAACCGTTTGTATCATCTCCCGTTATGTTATTTATTTCTTGCAGAATTTTTCATGTTTTTCAAACAAAATTCTCCCCGTCAGTGATTCAAGTTGTCTCGTCTAAAGACGATCGTTAGTTGCTGTTTGAATGTCAAATTTAGTTCTAAGGAAGTAAGCAAACCCACCTTTTTCCTTCCTTAAGATCATTAGTATTTAAATTATCTTATTTTTTAATTCCACAAACCCATATTTTCTGCTAGAATCACACGTTTTATGACTAATCTTTTATATCAGTACTGATACTGTTACTACTCCTATCATTCTGAGATATTCTTTGACTAATTTACTTTGCAGTGTTAATGCGATGTGGTAACTTGAACCGATGCACATATGTGTCAAGTTCGATGTTCCATATGATTGATTGACTGAAGAGCATTGTAAATGTATCCATGTTCAATCAATGCTAATATACTCTTATCTTCTAAGTTTTCAAAAAAACCTAACCTTTTAAATTTGAACATCTCGGGAGCTGTTAAAAAGGAGGATAAGAAATTGACTGTGTCCGTAATAGTAGAACTTGAATTTACTGCCGCATTATCAACACGTATCAATTTTAACTGATATCCAGATGAAGAAAATCTGTTTACTTCACCGTAAATTTAATGGTAAATTTTGTAAAATTTTAATCCCCACTTTTCTGCACATTTGTACAGTGCACTTGCAAAAACTGGGCACTGAGTACATTACACCCTGAATTCCTATTGATACATTTATTGTTTTATATTGATGGTACGTTACTACTATCTTTGAGGAACTACTTACCATGAATTTTCGCTCCCAGGCGATTAGGATCATCAAACTCTAGTGAAATCATCTGACCACTCATGATTCTAATATTAAACGAGAACGTTAAAGCGTCATCTGGAAGAAACAAAATAAGCATTACTATGCATATTAACGGTTTAGATACTAAGATAACTAAACATAAAAAGGTTCCAAACTGCTAACTATTTAAGCACTGACTACCCTGACATATAATCCTGACTAACATAGGAGTAGGTTGGAGAAAATATAGTAATGCGCAAATCGAGACATGATTTGAGCTATGTTGGAAGGTGAAAACTTCCTCGCTGGGCCACAAACAATAATCAAAATCATCGGTTAAATAAATTTGGTGCCATCTATAAATCGATCATAACAACAAAGTTGCATTCATTTTATTTAACCAAATCTGAAGTTAAGTATCATTTCTTAAATTTTCATCCTTCGATTGCAACTATTCCATTTGAACTGTATTTTCTATTATTTTCGATATTATTTTCCATCCTATGCTTCTTGCTCTTTTGATTTCCTTTCGTTATGCTGATGTGAGATGTGACAACTTAGACCACAACGAACTCGGCCATATCCTAACTGACTGACAAAATATTTAAAGATATATCACCCAAAGTAATAGAACCCATGATTCTGACGATTTTAAAGACCTTATTTAGGAGATTCAGACACCTATATATAAAACAAACTAACACTCCATGGACTTTTGCTTTATAGTTTGCAAACAAACACCATTTGATTTGTAATCTCGATCATTTCAGTGCACATCTATTCACATGTGGTAGTCAAAATTTAAAATTCAATAGTCATTACGGTCAGAAAAACATTTAGAACCTAAATTTGGGTTGTATACTATAAACAATTGTGTGAACCCACCTTTTTCCACTGGTTTATCAGGATGAACAATAAATGTTTCATAAAACGCTAAAGCTGATGCTTGTTTACGAAGAATAGAAATAATTTCACCAATTTGATCTGAACATGTAAATGGAACTGAGCTGACAAGATAGGCTTTGACATCACTCTTAATTTGATAACTATGTTGTGTAATATTTGGGTTTTGCTAGATAAAACCAAACAATCAAAAAAATTAGAGTTGATGTACTGAACTGAAAATAAAACAATATACATTAATTATTGTGTAAAAAGCCCTATCAATACCTAGAATCTTAACTTATAGTCTAAATAAATGTTGTCTAACATGGTTTTTATAAATGCAACACATATAAAGTTATCGTGTGTACATAGTTTAAGTTACTTTATTTCTTGTCTCACTGTAAAATCAGCTGATTAAAAATATTAATGGATCCTCATAACTAACCAAGAGGTAGTACAAAATAAAATGGATCTAGTTTAGTTTCGAACATTTGACCCGATGTTTGAAGGCTAAACCTTTGTGACGATTAAGTTACATTGTTGAATAATCATAGACCGTTGTTGCTACCTTGATGTGGTGGTCGGGCTTGTCTATCGTGATGAAGCAACTGAGCTATACTGGCTGGAACAACAGTTTCTCAAGGTCTTACCATGCTAGACAGGTCGGTTGAAGGGCAGTAAGACTAAAAGCAACAAAACCAAGGTCTGAAGGCGAAGTCGTACTGCTGACTGTACAGAGGTGTGACAGCAGTAAGGTGTTTCTTTCAGACAACCAGCATAACAGCAATGCTGCCTTCCCACAAGGAGGGGTGGGGTTAGAAAAGGTCGACCCTAAAAATGCACACCTCACCTTATCCCACGGATATCCGTGTCCGGCGGTAAGGTCTCAACAAGTACGGAGCTAACACAAAAACTACTCATAGAAAGGTCGTGTGTGACCGACCTCAAGCAACTGTCCCTTGGGCACTGCGGTCACGCTCTCAGGTCACTATGACCAACTCTAATCCAATTTCCTTTTCAGGTACCTCCAGATAAACCCCTTCACGGTGTGGGCAACCCGGAAGTGATAACCGCCCTTATAACTCTAACAGCACTCAAGACCACTGTATTCATAATCAACCTACCTCTTCAATTCCTATTATTCCTCTTACATCGACTTTCAAATCTAAACTCCCTCTTTCGGCTTCCTCCTCAAGTGTCACTACGGCCAACGATTCTAGTGCGCAAAACATTGTCTCAGGTCTACTGAAACCTCGCTCCAAACTACACATTGGAGCCTTCAACGTACGCACATTATGTCAAATCGGTCAACAGGCTTCCTTGGCTAAAACCCTAGAATCTCGTACAATTGATGTATGCTGTGTCTCCGAAACACGCATACAGGATCCTAGTGTGGTCATTCACTTGACCTCACCTCGGCAAAACGGAGAGCCGACGATATACACCCTCCGTGTATCTGGCGACCCGATGGCTAGCTCTCGTGGACTGGCAGGTGTAGGCATAACACTAAGCATGAGGGCGGAACAAGCGCTATTAGAATGGATCCCCGTTAACAGTCGTCTATCAGTCAGTCAGTCAGTAACAACGTGGAACTTCGTACGTACGTACATCAGTTCGAGTTGCCATACCACATTACCACAGAGATTCAGTTATCGATTCAAATCCTATAGTGGTAGAGGTACTGAAAGTATAAGTAGAGATAGGGGACATTAAGGTTTGATGATGTTATTAAAGGAGTATAGTCCAGTGGAATAAATTGAGAAAGAAAATAAAGGACATGAAGAATTCAGAAGATTAGAATTCGGGAGAACACAAGGAGTGGATGCACCTGCGCCATTGCAAACGATTTTGAGCCATGTCATTCAAGGTCTCTAACCATCGGTTGCTATCGTCTCGCGGTCCCCAACCAGGTAGCCTACACCTACCAACATGACTCAGTCCACTTGTCAGTGACTTCATGGATTTCTGCCATGTTTTGGTCTGGCCGACCCTAGCTTTCTTCCAGCCCCCAAATGCCCTGGTATGGCCGAGAGTGTGGGGAGTGCGCTCCTCCTCTCGAAATGCTCTCACATGGCCACGCGTATACAGTCTCTGCCAGGGAAGTCCTACTCACTGCCTTCTCGTGGCGGGGGTGTTGTTTACAAAAAATGAGAGGACGAAAAGCCAATGTCCGGCGCTTTAACCGGATCTCAAATCAATGGTGCACATGGGCTCCAATATCCTGAGGGAACAAATGGCGTATGAACCAATCGTTGGTCACCGGCTACCATGGGACTGCATCTCCTCACGATGCTCCACTGCCTTGTGGATCAGATCTTCAGGTCAAAGGCTCGGGGTGTAGCCCCCTAAGAAAACCACCTGCTTCGGTTTGGGCACCCGAGCAGTATCACAGCCCTCACACATATCCAATGAGATCTGTGTGGCTCATATAATATTTGGTGCCTTCTTGTACCGATATTTATGTGTTAAAATAAATAAATAAATAAAAATAGCTTTCTTCCAACCTACTCCTACACCATAAAACATAGCACGTCGGGGCAGTCGGTGGTCGGGCATACGCAGCACATGTCCCAGCCATCTCAACTGATTAAGTTTCACTACTTCATCAATTGATTTGCCATCCTTACCTAGTACCCGTTTCCTAAGAACTGCATTAGTTACTCGGTGGTCCCAGGATATACGAGCGATGTTTCGAAGACACCTATGGTCAAATACTAGTAACCTACGAATATCCTCAACTCTTACTGGCCATGTTTCACTGCCATAAAGTTCGGCTTAACGGCTCGGTAAGAACTCGGAAGGATAGGAACACACGTCGTTGCCTTTACGTCGTTTCTGCCTACGCTCCCACTGACTGCAGCTCGGATGAAGTGAAAGATAAATTTTACAGAAAACTCTCTGAACTTCTTCAGAAAGCTAAACGTTCAGACATAGTACATGTAGAAGGTGACTTTAATGCCCAAGTAGGTAGCTTAAACGAAACAGAAGGACATTTAGGTGGGTATTTTAGTATTCCGGCACAGTGAACAGATAATGGTGATCGTCTGCTGCAACTTTGCTCAGACAATCGTTTATTTTTAGCAAACACAAATTTTAAGCATAAGGAGAGACATCGTCTAACATGGCGACCCCCTGCAGCAAATCAACGATGGACTCAAATAGACCATATTGCCATCAGTCATCGTTGGAGAGGGTCGATAGAAGATTGTCGCTCATTCTGGAGTACCTGCCTTGACTCCGACCATGCCCTAATACGAGCACGCATCTGCTTGCGCCTCACTGGACGCAAAAAAGCCACATTAAAAAGACCCATTACGACTGAACTGAGTAACGAGAAAAACAAAAGTAGGCTCCAGGAACAACTGAGGTCACACTTAGGTAGTTCTGAAAACGAGGCTGACTCAGATGTTGCTTGGAGGGATATACAATCAGCTGTGGAAACAGCTGTGACATCTATTAGCGATTTAAACCACAGGGTTACAAAGAACCAGTGGATTTCTTCAAGGTCTATTGCACCGATGGATTCTCGTAAACTCATCCCATCAGGCTCTGAACACGATGAAGAGGGTAAACAAATCAGATCCAGGTTAAGCAAAAGTCTAAGGAACGACCGTGAGCAGTGGTAGGCAACGAAAGCAAGAGGTGGAAAAGGCAGCGGTTATAGGTATTTATTATTATTATTTTAACACATAGATATCGGTACAAGGAGGCACCAAATATTATATGAGCCACACAGATCTCATTGGATATGTGTGAGGGCTGTGATACTGCTCGGGTGCCCAAACCGAAGCAGGTGGTTTTCTTAGGGGGCTACACCCCGAGCCTTTGACCTGAAGATCTGATCCACAAGGCAGTGGAGCATCGTGAGGAGATGTAGTCCCATGGTAGCCGGTGACCAACGATTGGTTCATACGCCATTTGTTCCCTCAGGATATTGGAGCCCATGTGCACCATTGATTTGCGATCCGGTTAAAGCGCCGGACATTCGCTTTTCATCCTCTCATTTTCGTAAACAACACCCCCGCCACGAGAAGGCAGTGAGTAGGATTTCCCTGGCAGAGGCTATAGGTAACACCAGACAGCTCTTCAGACTCATAAAAGAAATTGGAACTAAAAAGGCAGATGTAAGTAAGACTATCTCGGAAAAAGACGACGTTCTTATCTGCTCCCAGTCCAGACGTTTAGAACGATGGTCGGAACACTTTAAGGAGCAGTTCAGCTGGCCTTCAGCTACTCTACAACTACCCTCTATCCCCAGACAGTGTGAATGGAACATTGAAGTAGGTCCCCCAACTCTAGCTGAAGTTCAAAAGGCTATAGCTAATCTGAAACGAGGAAGGTCAACAGGTCCAGATGGATTGGTTCCAGAGGTCTTTAAGGATGGTGGCCCAATTCTAGCGACTAGGTTGACTAATATTTTAGCTAAAATCTGGGGGGGTGGACGTAATCCCCTCTGACTGGTCACAATCACTTATCGTCCCAATATATAAGAAAGGGTCAAAATCATCCTGTGACAACCATAAAGGTATTAGTTTAACTAATATATTATCTAAAATACTAGCCTCGATAATTATCGGACGCCTAACTAAGACTCGTGAACTGCAAACACGAGAGAATCAAGCTGGCTTTAGACCTGGTCGTGGCTGCATCGACCACATATTCACCATTCGTCAGGTCTAGAACACAGGCATACTTATCGACGTCCGACAATGGTGGTCTTCCATGACTTAAAAGCAGCATTTGACTCTGTGGACCGAGAGGTTCTGTGGCGGTGTCTGTCATTGAAAGGTGTACCTCAGAAGTACATAAACCTTATGAAGGCTCTTTACTCGAACACTACTAGTCGAGTCAGAGCTTATGGCGAACTGTCATCTGCTTTCGCAACCTCAAGTGGTGTCCGTCAAGGCTGTCCACTTTCTCCATTTTTGTTTAACTTCATCATAGATCTACTGATGGAAATAACGCTCTCATCGACTGAATTCTCGGATATTAATCTCCTACCAGGAGGTCCACTTATCGACTTAGAATACGCAGATGACATAGTCCTGTTTGGTGAAGACGCTGATGAAATGCAGAGTATTATGGTAGCACTGAGCAACAATGCCAGAATGTTTGGAATGCGCTTTTCTCCCTCCAAATGCAAGTTGTTGCTTCAGGACTGGTCTTCGTCAACACCTGAACTAAGGATAGGGAGTGAAGTAGTCGAACGTGTAGACAACTTCACTTATCTTGGAAGTCTGATCAGCCCTAATGAGTTGGTGTGTGACGATATCTCAGCACGAATTCGAAAAGCTCGTTTGGCTTTCACCAACTTACGTCACCGATGGCGATGGCGAGATATCCGTCTATCAATAAAAGGACTAGTATACTTCGCGGCAGTTCGTTCCGTTCTAATATACGGCTGCGAAACATGGCATTTAAGAGTAGAAGATACTCGTAGGCTACAAGTACTCGTACGTTACTAGTATTTGACCACAGATACCTTAGAAATATTACTGGGATCATCGGGTAAGCAATAGTGAGGTTACACGCAGGGTATTAGGGAATGATGGTAAATCAGTTGACGAAGTTATGAATCTTCATCGACTGAGATGGTTGGGCCACGTGTTTCGTATGCTTGAACACCGATCACCACGACGTGCAATGCTCACTGGTGTGAGGGATAATTGGAAGAAAGTTAGGGGCGACCAAACCAAAACGTGGCATCAGTGCTTGAAGTCACTAACTTCTGGTCTGAACCATGTTAGTAGATGCAGACTACTTGGTTGGGGTCCACGTGACTATCGTAACCAATGGTTGGAGACTCTTGGTGACATGGCTCAGAATCGATCACAATGGCATAGGTGTATGCACTCTCCGTTTTCCTTTAAACTAAGAGATTAAAATCGCTTCATATCTTTCTTTCTACCAACTAATTCTTTATTCCTGTACTATCTCCTTATATGCAATTTTCTTTTATATATTACCACCACTGAATTAACTACTTCTATGAATCCGGTGTTCATCTTGTTGTGCTAACGCGGTATGGCAACTTGGACCGATGCATGTATGTGCCTGGCCCTAAGTTGCAGTTGACCGACTGACTGAGATATCAATATCTTCCAGGGAAATAGAAAAGCTATTCAAATGACAAGAAAATCATATAAAATTTAAATAGGACACCCGTGATTATGATAGTGACTAAACCAATTATAGTTTTGAGTTCTTTTATTGATTTATTTCAGGTATCAAATCATTACCAAGTTTAATAGATACTTTTTCTATGTACAACTTGATTCACAAGCACATTTTAACACTAGATAATCAAGGAAAATGTTAATTTACAAACATTTCTTATTTTGATTTCAGTAAAAAAAACTTTATGTATTATTTAACTTAAATATTTATTTTATTATCATACAGATAATAAATTCTAAAAAAATATATTGAATGTATTCGAAAAATTTACGTAAACATTCACTCACTAAATGTGTGTTTATTCCATATAAATGTTCCTGTTTATATTTCCGTAAAATCAATAAAACTATATCTTCTTCTTTCTGATCTATGATTTCTGTATTGCTTAAACCTTTACATTAAAAGAGAAAAAATACAACTAATAACTATTCTAAAATACTACTATAAATCGAAAAGTATGATAGAGACTACAAGTCAAGTGGAGGCACTTAAGGGGAGAAGAAGTTTACCTGTAGTACGCTCAAGTTGTTGAATTGCATCTGTTGAGATTGGTAAAGGAGGATCTAGATGTAGTACGAATTCAGCTTCAATTGATATACACTTGATTTCATCTGGTTGAGCGAAATGAGGAACACTAAAGAAAAAATAGCAGGGAAATAATAAGTATGAATAAATAAGGATATAAAATACACAATTTTAAAGGTAGATGAAGTCTCCAGACCGTACATGTAACTCTATCATATTATTAAAAATGTGGACTCAAAACTAAAGAACATCCACACAAATCTCATTTTATAGTGTAATTTTATCATGATACGAAAAAATTATCCATAAATCACGAGTAAAATTCCAGTTTCTGGGAGCAAGCGAAACAAACAACTGACTCTTAAGCAAAGAACACGAATATAAATTCAGACGATTTCGAAGTAGTTTGTATTAACCGAACTCCGTGGAAAGAAATATGGTTTTAAAATAAACTTAAGGTGATAAACGACCGGATCCATTTGTAATTTAGCTTCACGCAAAGAGAAGAAAAAAACTGCTTCGTTTCCATCCAACACTAGATAGATAAAAATGGACAGGAATTATTGATACCATGGAGCGGGTTTTTGTATCTTACAGATTGATCTAAATGGATACAAAGTATTCAAATTGTGAAAATATTATAAGCTTTGAATTTTGTGAAAAGCCAGTCAACATTTTTTACTCATCAATCACAAATTTGTGTCTGTGGAAGTAAAAATCACTTGCTGTTCAAACACGTTATCAATTTTTTTATCAAAAAAAGGAAAGTAAGGATAACCACAGTTAATTACTCACCTTATACCATAAGCATCTTTCTGTAGTGTCACTAAAGGCATAAATGGAAGTCTTTGAACTGTAGACTGGGCAACTGCGGAAGTATCCTCCACATACGACAACCTAGGACAAAGTCCGATGCGTGCCATATATCCTCCAATTAGACCATCACGAGATCCGCACCCAATACTAGTTGAATATGCACTTTTTGAATTCATTTGTAAATTATTCTTGATTACTGCAGTTGCATTACTGATCATAGCCTGTGCAGATGTGACTAGGTAAGTAAGTCTAGCTAGCCGGCCTCCTGTACGTCCAACAAAGTGTCCAACGAGTGAACGATTTACTAGGTCACGCATACTAAATACATCATGTTTCTGATTTGGTGCTCGCCTAAATGTACTTATGGCATCGATATTATTTTCTAAGTCAGTTCTCATTGCCTGAGTCAGCATACTCAAGTCTTTCTCAAGAGCCTGTAAACACAAGTAGGTTCGAGCACGATCAATCCTTAAAAAGAAATAGAAAAGAAATATAGACCTTTCAATTGACAAGGAAACCAAGGTCACTGAAATGATAATGCAGGATTAGCGGACTTAAATTAGTTATCATTTCAAACTTTGCAGGATTTATTTTAACCACACATACTTGACTGAATTTCGATGTGTAACACTGACAATTTAATTTTAAGGAGTTATATTTCAGTCAGTCAGTCAACTGCAACTTAGGGCCAGGCACATACATGCATCGGTCCAAGTTGCCATACCGCGTTAGCACAACAAGATGAACACCGGATTCATAGAAGTAGTTAATTCAGTGGTGGTAATATATAAAAGAAAATTGCATATAAGGAGATAGTACAGGAATAAAGAATTAGTTGGTAGAAAGAAAGATATGAAGCGATTTTAATCTCTTAGTTTAAAGGAAAACGGAGAGTGGATACACCTACGCCATTGTGATCGATTCTGAGCCATGTCACCAAGAGTCTCCAACCATTGGTTACGATAGTCACGTGGACCCCAACCAAGTAGTCTGCATCTACTAACATGGTTCAGACCAGAAGTTAGTGACTTCAAGCAGGAGTTATATTTAGAACACTAAAAACTCTTATTTTCAGTTCAGTTCGTCTTTAGAACATAAATATGGTATAAATTAATAATATAGAATGATTGAAAATAAATATTTGTCCAATGAAAACCAACCAACCACAGAAACCTATCAAATAAGAAATAGGTAACATATATATTAATAACAAAAGGATAATACCATCTCATTGACTAGTGATTCAAACATAAAAGTGAAGGAGAACGCTGAAGCGGTAGGGGTTTAAGAGTAGAATACAATTAAGTAAACCCGTTAGTCACTAAAAATAACCGACTAGGTTATGGCACACTGTTTTGAGCCATTCCTTTTGTATGTGTACTAGATAAGTAAATGGAAACTGAACCTGAGATCCAGTCAACAGAAGTTGCATACTGAGATGAGTGAGCTAAAATCTTATGCTATGAATGTTTACAATCACGAGATAAGTATAAAGAAATATATATTCCGGTTCTTTTACACGAATCAGTCACTCAGATAAACAACAGATATCAATTTAAAACAAACCTGTATGAATTAGAAATTAATCTTACTTCAATAGGGAGTGGATTCGCAAAATATAGCTTAGATTATCGATTGAATTAGGGCATTACGATTATCTGTATTTAAATAAGCATGGAAATCAAACAGATAAACTAAAAAAATCGGAAGTTAGTTTTCCTAATTCACTGGAATCTCACAAATCTATCATTACCACTAAAAACAATTCCCACTGTTTATACTTACTCTACCCCTTGAGTTTTCATTGTTAAATGAAGTGCGGATGGGAGAAACTCATTTCCTTCACTTTAAGCAGAATTTCTGTAATCAGTATTTTACTTAACTACTGATTTTGCAAGGAATGTTACAAACATGGAAGGGACAAAGCCCATTATATAATATATATATATATATATATATATATATATATATACCACTGTCATAACTATGGAGACTATAATATCAAATTATTTCGGGATTCTCAAAAGAAATCTATTTCTATTCACTAACCGACGACTACAATCCCCATAACACTATACCTAATAACGTGACTTTCTAAGAGAAATGGTATGGCGGTCAGAAGTATATTACAATGAGATATTCATTGTGGTGCACACCAAAGTAACAAGATGAGTTATAGCTACGAGAACCCGACTGTAGAAAATAAAGTGAAAGTGTAATACCTCACACAAAACGATAAGAAGATCCAGTGATTCAACAAGGAGCTAGTTCATCCATTCCAAATCCAGTTCACACATTGGTTACTTGCTAGATTACATACAGCTCCATGTAACAAATAAGAATTTTATGTATTATTACAGATAACAAAACAACTTACTTATCACCCGGAACTGCATATATCGTCAGAAGATTATCTACATGCTGTAGTAATGAACTATATTTGCCCATACTGAGATCGGTGGCCAGCTCCGGACAGGGCTGTATGAATGAAATAAACACTATAGAAGTCTTTAGGGCAAAAAGTAAGATATACTATAAAAAAATTAAACGCTTGAGATTTATATCCCTGTATCTGGTGGTCAGACTTTGAAGCATAGTTCTAAATGCATTCAGCAAAATGCTGCGTTAAACTCGGTACGTGTACATCGGTTGACGTTGCTATACCTCATTGGGGCAGCGAGATGAAATTGTTAGGAAGAATCTTATAGTAATAAAAGTAGGAACAATATCAGATGTAATAGAATAGATTAAACATCGAAGATACGATTCAAGAAAGTAGAAATTAGTGAAATAAAAAGACTATGACGAATCTAGAAACTCAGGATCTAAGGAAATATAGAATGGATCTACCTGAACCATGTCATTTAAGGCCTTTAATCATTGGTTACGATAATCTCGTGGATCCCAACAGGGTAATATACATCTGTTAACAAGGCCCAGCTCATTTGTCATTGACTTCATGAACTGATGCTATTTTTTTGTTTGGCCGCCCCTAGCTTTCATCCAACCAGACATCGTTCAATGAGGTAAGTGGTGGGTAGGGATATGTAATACATGTCTCAACTACCTCAACCAATGGAGACCTACTACCTCATTAATCGATTCCCCGTCCTTACCTAGTACCTTATCCTTAACCCAGACATTACTAACTTGGTGATCCTAAAATACATAAGCAATGATACGAGGACATGTGGTTGAATACTGGTATCCTACGAATAACCTCTATTCTTAATGACCATGTTCCACATGCATAAAGTGGGAAAAATAGGACTGTTGCTCAGTAAACTCATTCTTTGGTTTATTTATTTATTTATTTATTTTAACACATAAGTATAGGTACAGGGAGGCACCAAGTACATATGCGACACACGAATCTCAATTGATTTGTGTGAGGGCTGTGATACTGCCCGGGTGCCCAAACTGAAGCAGGTTAGCAGATGGATATCTTACCGTAACGAGATGCAAGTTAGTAAAAGAGAACCGGACTTTCTGAATCCATATCGAGATTTCATCAGACACCAGCTTATCAGGACTAATGAGACTCCCAAGAAAAAGGAGTGATACACTCAACTAATTCACTTCATATCATTAATTTAGGCAATGACACAAGTCAGTCCAGGAGGGGATGACTTGCCCTCTTGTAAAATGCAATAAACTACACACAAAGTAGCTGCTATTCAAGTTATCTCCATTACATAGCCAATGTATAAGATCCTACTCACTTATGGATGTAGGATCTGATAATTATATCGATCTATGTTTCAAACCAGAGTAACTAGGTCTAAACAACTAATGCCATGAGTTTATAACTACTGACTAATGTTATACATAAGCTTAATTGCCCTCAATGTTATTAAATTCTGGTGCTCCTAAGTGTAATGCATTCGGACAGGTGATAGCTGAACCTCAGCCAAACATTAACGAGGGACGACCCGAGATTAGCTAAGAAACTATATTTATTCATTTTGGGACACAACTTAAAAAATTGTACGTTATCTAAATATCTGAGAACTCACATGGTTTATATTGGATGGCAGTGACGCAGATGCATTCAACCTACAATTTCCTTTAAATTATGGACATGGCATTATTCTACCTTTCGAAGATGTTTATTTGATTAATTTTAAATACGTTTTAAATTTTGTGCCTTCGTATTTAACTCGTCACATCATTAGATCTCAACTAATGTTAGCATGATTAATTTTAGTAGAATGTGAAAACTTGGCTAGATACATGTTTGTGAAATCCACATCGTTTATTTTCTGTCTGGCTATCGTAACTCTTATGAATCTAATTTAATGCATACAAAATTACCTGGGATAGTTACACATATCCTCATTTTTATATGAATAAACATGAGATGTCGTGGACGTGCGTCAAGAGTACCTGATCACCACCTAACTCGACGTGGGTTAGAAGTGAGAATAGGCTATACTGACCAGTCTAAGAAGGTCCAAACTACCTGGTTGGAATCTGCAAACAATCATGGTTAATGGTTGAAATCTTCGGATGAAATGGATCAGTATCGACCAAAGCAATGAAGATGCATTTACTCAATCTGCCCCTGACTCTTGAGCTTTGTCTTTATTTTATGCTGTTTAGTGAGTGAATTTGTCCTTTTTTCGAATTTTATTCTCCAATGTTTAATATTACTATAGTTAATAGGAATGGAATAAAGACCTGTGGAGTACACGTCCCACTTTTCGACTGATACTAGCGATGTAGTAAGTTTCTTCGACGGAATATCTTATTTTGAAAAATACTTAACTGCAACCAAATATTTTAGAGTGAAGTAAATTTTGAGCCTTTGAATAAACTGTTAAGGAAATGATGAACAATGATACCAGTGTTAATTAAGGTGACAAATATCACGCAAATCCATAAGAATAAACAAGCTGTTCATAAAAACCTCTTGTCTCCATCATAGCCTGAAGGCACAATTCTTGGAAACTAGTATGTCTACAATAAACCAGTAAGCAGAATGCTGTCTTAATTTACAGCCTTAAAGTCGCTTAATGTGGACCGCAGGCTCCCGTTAGTTAAGCCATCACCACTAGGATGAAACTTGGTGACCAACTACAAGAAATGGATGCAACCTATGTACGGAAACTCACATATGTTTTCGAGTGGTAAATATTTCGTCTTACATGTGTAAACCAGGCAAAAACGTTTTAAAATTCATAAATCCGGAACCCTGAGCTTGTTTGAAACAAATAGGAATATAAATAGACAATCCAATCTCCAAAATCTGACAACGGTATTATGCATGGAAATTTTAATACGATTATGTGATAAACTCACCACAGCTTTATCATGATTAAACTCGAAATAAACTGCGGCAATAGAAATAAGATCCGTCAGTTCTGGTGAGTTATTATAAGTCGAATCAGAAGTTGTGATCGAGTTATTAGTTGCAGCAACTACTACTGCAAAGCACTCAGATGTTAATCTCCACACTAATGCTCCAGTAGATGTTCCACTACCCGAGCATGGACCTGAAGACAATTGAAGACCACAGTGTATAGCAATTCTTTGTAAGTGATTGAGGAATGTGGAGTATCGTATCAAATACGGTCCTGTGCGTGTATTGTTTGATCCTGAGTGAATTTGATCCGCACGAACGGTTGCAAGCAAATCCAGAAAGTCTAAATTGTCTGAACACTTAGAGATGTCATGCATTGGCAATTGAATATCCCAAACAATGGTGATATCTTAAATAATAACGATGAAAACCATATGAAGACACGGATTCCAGAAAGTGCGCCTCAACAGTACATTGGTCTCAATGCTTTATATTTCATTGTGGAGTTCTCAGTTCAAAAAATTATGTTCCTCACCTTTAAGTATCCTTCTGTAAGTTTTCGATCTCACTTACAAGCCTTATTCAAGTTTTTGATGGGGAGAAATTTCTATTCACAGAATATGGTTTTTGAGCATTTATTATTTCATGTATATCCAGTCTCAATGAAAAATAAGATTTTGATTCAATGACTATTAGAATGTCTGCCGTAGGTGTGGTCTTTATAGGCATCAACATAAGTGACTGATATGGTTTCATACCTTAGTCTTAGAGTGAATTAATCGTAGTTAGAGATCGAATTACTGACTAAATAAATAAATGGTAAATTGTTGAGTTAAATAGTTCTTCAACATCACGAGAACCTAGGAATATCGAAATTCTCAAGGAGCCTACGTTTTTTTTAGTTTTGTGTGTATCATCTACCCACAAAAGTTTTTGGATGACGGAAGTGTGAGCACATGTACGGAATTGTAGCAGTAAATAAATCCCCAAAATAAATAGCTGTGTAAGTTTTTGACATTGGATCCTGACCACATTGGTTTTGATGGACTCATCTAGCTGAAGGTGTTTGGTCATGCATCCGCACCAGATCACGTGTGGGAACGCCGTGCTCAGCATCTAATGCAATAGCTAGCCAGATTAGATCAGACGATCCTCGATATATCGATAGCCTATCAAATATGTCTTCGAACCTCTTCGCTTCTGTCTTTTGATTTTACTTGATGGGTAAGCTTCATATTAGAAGGTGTCACTGGTTAAAGCGTTGTCAAACTCCGAGTACCTGTGGCATCTTCAGAATGATGTCGACAGGACAAGATTATAAGGATAACTAAGAAGGTTCTCAGAGTAGACAAATTGGTGAGCGCCATAAATGTAATGTCTTTGTCTTAAATTTTTATTCGTATGTAGTTGGTAGTTATAGTAAGTAATGACTTCAAACCAGTAATGACTATTGAAGCTGCCTTATAAACAACAATCTATGGTAAAGACATTACATTTATGGCGTGGTTGTGCAAACCATAGTGACAAGAGTGTGATGTAATTAAAGCTTTGTTTCAACTCACTTATAACGTTCAAAGATTTGTCTACTGTGGTTCGTGCGAACTAATGATTCCTTCATAGTTAATGACTGCCTGATTTAGATTTCCAAATGCAATACGTCCGTTCGTTCTCATCTAGTACTTCATGGTTAAATCGCGTGATTTCTGTGATTCATAGTTTGTACCATCATTTAAATACTTCAAAACATGACATCTACCTAATAGCGCCTGTAGGTCTTCTAGAGTTACTGCCAGTGGCATGTTCAAGTAAAGGAGGAGGGTTCGGCGTAGAGCCGGCAGCCAAATCCAGTAGAAAACAATCTCGCTAAAAGACACCAACTAGAATAAACAATCAAACCATTTAAACTATGCCTAGAGAGTTGAAGGACGTTTATTTAGAAGAACTAGAAGAGCCTCATGGTGAAAGCCGAGAATCTTCGAAAGTCACAGAGCTGATGCTCCTTCTAACAACTAGGACGACAAATTTTATAGGTACACTAAAAGTACGGAAAATGTGAGAGACCGGGAAGACCAGTCAAATAACCACAAAAATAAGGAGATACAACTTGACGGTGCTTGTAATAGGTAAAACCAATTGTACTGAAGCTGAACAAAAAGGATAGATTCGGGAGAGATATTGTTGTACACTGCTTTACAGAAAAATTGCTCCACACAGGTAGGACGTTGTTCCGATGATGTCAAAAGAGGCATGAAGTGAACTTATTGGATGAAAATCTCATGGATCCGGGATCATCAAAGTGTCCTTCAAAACAAAGAAGGAGGGGATCATAATGAATGTTATCCAATGTTATGCGTCCATCAATGATAGCAATAAAGACCAATTTTACGAGAGGCTGCAATCGATCATAATGAAGTGACCAGGGTAGGATTTGACCATCTCGGTGGGAGATCTAAACTCCGAAATCGGAATGGACAACACCGGGTATGAGTATAGAATGGGAGCAAGGAAGGAGAATGATGACGGATTCGAAGATTGATGTACAGTCAACAAAATAGCTGCAGGCGACACAATATTTTCACACAAACACATACACGAAGCTACGCGGGTCTCATCATATCACACTATGGAGAACCAGATAGACCATGTTTGTATCGATAAAAAATTCTGGAAGTCAATGGAAGACCTGAGAACCAGGAAAAGAGCTGACATAGCTTCAGATCATTATCAACTGGTTGGGAGCAAGATGAAACTGAAGCTAGAGAAACACCGGACAACTAGGGAGACAGCATTGCAAAGGTTCAATATGACCTTCCTTCGAGATACTGACAAACTACGAATCTAAGACAGCTCTCAAAAACAGGTACTAGATCTGACAATATCTATGGAGGAAAACTGGAAAGGGAACAATGAAGCATTAACTTCAATGTACCAAGAGGTACTGGGCTGCAAGTAGTATCATCACAAGGAATGAATCTCTATCGAAAGCCTGGACAAGATTTACGAGAGGAAGAACAAGAAGACAGTAACTAAGAACAGCCGAACAAGAACGGAGGATGTCAATGAGCAAACTGAATACACTGAAGCAAACCAGCAAGTGAAGAGGGGCTTTATAGCTGAAAAGCAGAAATATGTGAAAGACCTGGTAACGACAGCGGAAAAGGCTGAAATAACTACATGACAAAGTGATGAAACTATTACGGACCAGTCAAGAACAAAGTGAGTAAGTTAGTCACTGACATTGAAGAACAGCGGGATAGGGGAGTAAACCACTTTGAATGACTGAATAGACCAGAGCTACTGGACCTATTGAACATCAATGCAGCACATACAGACACTCCTATAGATGTTACCCTACCAACAGCCGAAGAAATGGGCGTGGGTATCAAATTACTTAAGATTGATAAAGCATCAGGACCAGACAACATACCAACCTGCAGACTGAAGTCAGACATGAAGGTGATTGCAAAGATGCGTCACATTTAATACAGACAGATTTAGGGGTGAGATAATATCCCGCCAGACTGGAAAGATTGACGCTTCATTAAGATACCAAAGAAAGGGGATCTGAGCAATTGTGAGAACTATAGAGGCATCATATTACTATCGGTAACAAGAAAAGTTTTCAACACAGTGTTGCTGAACCGGATGAATGTTTCAGTAGGCGTCCAACTTCGAGATCAACAGGCTGCATTCCGTAAATATCGAGCGATCAGGCATTAACTTCTCGTTTGAAGTATGAAATGGAAATTCTAGAGCCGGTTTAACTAGTTGAAATCAAACGTTTTCCTTACTTGTTAAAAAATGAATGAGATACCAATAGTAGGTCTACAGGTAGTCTTATATTGATTTATCATGAACTAACCGGTGGTTTTCTTAATAATGTCTTGCCAGCTGTCTCCACGTTGGACTGATCATTTAGAAACACGATCCCAATAAGTTCGGAAGCCAAAATCTAAACGTTCGCTCTGGGAAATTTGTTCGTTTTATCCAGTCGCAAATCACCAGATCTTTTTCAGAATGCTCAGCAACATCATGTGTTGATACGTCCAAATCGAGATTGTATCTCTATAGAACTATATATCACTAGTTTTAATATAGGTCATTCAACATTTTATCCTAAGAAAACGTCTCTTAGGACAACTAAGATGACTTCTACATGGCAGTCATCCAGTCGTATGTTAACATCATTTATTTAAAGTAGCATAGGAACTTTCATTTAAAGTTAATGTGAGGGGATAAGTTTTCATGTCTAATAGTACCTGACCATTGTGTTTTCGAGTTTGGACCTCAGTATATGAAAGTGAGAAAAAATGATTTAACGCCAATACATTTACCTTCTGTACGTTAGAATGAGCCATTTTGTTGGTTAGACGAACTAAAGGACTTTATGAATTGGGCTGGTATTCTATTAAAGGAGAACAAAAGAGTTTCGTGGAACTACCTTAACAGAAGACCACTTCGAGTACCCTGCTACATTTCATAGGTCAAAAAGTGAAGTAATGCACCCCTACCATTGGTGTTGGGTGACAGCATACACTATAAACTCATAGGGATTTCCACGATGATTAGAATTATTCAAATTAATACGCTAACCAAAAATTCTCGAAATAGTGCGATTTAAGGCAGTTAGAAATAGATGAGCACAAATGAATGTACTATGTTTGAAATTCGTGATCAGCGAACAACTAAATACATAAGAATAATTAGTTCGTAGAAATACCACAGTTTCCAAACATAAACGTGGTAATACATGAGAACTTATTCGATAAAGATCCCCTGTCGGTGTTTTCACTCTCGAACTGTGGTCGGCCTTCCAGTTGTCCAAACAAGAAATTTTGTCGAGAGTTGTGAGTAGCTAGGTGCCTGAAGTTACTACAGCTGTAGTTTATAGAGTAAGAAACTCAGTTTATAAGTGAACTGGAATCCCAGGAGTTTATGTTGACTTCTCAAGAGCCATTAGTTAGTAAAAATAGGGCAAGAAAAAGGCTGAATACTGTTCCAATCAGTTGCTGTCTTATGTTTGAATCATTGCATTAAATAGGAATTCCAAAATCAGTACAGTTTACAGGAAGTGCAACTAGATGAAAACAAATGAACGCACTGTTTTTGGAATTCGAAACCAGTTGGTCATCATGTACAAAAGAATTATTATTTCGTACAAATACCACATGCCTGCACGTCTCTTGACAGTCCTTATGGTTTCAAAAGCTCGAAAACACAAATCTTTGTCGAGTAACAGAAATAAAAAGCCTTACAGATATTCGATAATGGTCCTTGCTGGTACAACCTAGGTGCCACACTTCACTTTATCCAGATAGTCAATTCATTAACCCCATATAACTTTAATAGGGATACTACTCCTAACTCAGGGTCTGAAAAGTCATAAAAATGAAAATTTCGCAAATGCAACAAAAATGATCTTTGTGGTCTAGTTATAATATTTCGACACCAGACAATCGGTTTTAAGCGTTATTTAGGCCCTAACGCATCAGGCTGAGCT